AGTCGTCGTCGTAGTATTAGTAGTAGTAGTAGTCGTAGTAGTCGTAGTAGTAGTAGTAGTAGTAGTAGTAGTAGTAGTAGTAGTAGTAGTAGTAGTAGTAGTAGTAGTAGTAGTAGTAGTAGTAGTAGTAGTAGTAGTAGTAGTAGTAGTAGTAGTAGTAGTAGTAGTAGTAGTAGTAGTAGTAGTAGTATAATGTAGTAGTACTAATCGTAGTAGTAGTAGTAGTAGTAGTAGTAGCAGTAGTCGTAGTAGTAGAAGTAGTAGTAGTAGTAGTAGTAGTAGTAGTGGTGGTGGTAGTAGTAGTAGTAGTCGTAGCAGGCGTAGTAGTAGTAGAAATAGCAGCAGTAGTAGTAGTAGTAGTAGTAGTAGTAGTAGCAGTAGCAGTAGCAGTAGCAGTAGAAGTAGTCGTAGTAGTAGTAGTAGTAGTCGTAGCAGTAGCAGTAGTAGTAGTAGTAGTAGTAGTAGTAGTAGTAGTAGTAGTAGTAGTAGTATTAGTAGTAGTAGTAGTATTAGCAGTAGCAGTAGTAGTAGTAGTAGTAGCCGTAATCGTTCGAGACGTAGTAGTTGTATAAGTAAAATGTAGTAAGTACTGTAGCAGTAGTAGCGTAGTAGTAGTAGTAGTAGTAGTAGTAGTAGTAGTAGTAGTAGTAGTAGTAGTAGTGGTAGTAGTAGTAGTAGTAGTAGTAGTCGTAGTAGTAGTAGTAGTAGTAGTAGTAGTAGTAGTAGTAGTAGTGGTGGTAGTAGTAGTAGTAGTAGTAGTAGTAGTAGTAGTAGTAGGAGAAGTAGTAGTAGTAGCAGTAGTAGTAGTAGTAGTAGTAGTAGTAGTAGTAGTAGTAGTAGTAGTAGTAGTAGTAGTAGTAGTAGTAGTAGTAGTAGTAGTAGTAGTAGTAGTAGTAGTAGTAGTAGTAGTAGTAGTAGTAGTAGTCATGGTTGTCGTAGGGATGTCGTAGTGGTGGTGGTACTGCTACTAGTAGTGTTAGGGTATAAGTAATGGGAGGAGTCTCAAGTATAGTTGCGGTCGTGGTGGAATGATGCGAGTCAGGAGGGTTCAGTGGCGATGGGGAATTTGCATCAGACGAAATTCCGCCAGCCCAGAAGATTTATTATTGCCACTCTAAGTCTTACGGGTGAGCAGCATTGTGCTCATACTCCACCATTGTTGCTGCCACTTATGAGTGCTTCGCTGGTATGGGTATTTCTGCAGTTATTATCGCCAACGCCACTACCGCCATCATTGCGATGATCTTGTTTACCACCATCACTTTCCTGTTCGGTTCAGGATGTGATGGTGGCAGTGGTGGTAGTGGTCCTGCTTATGCCGATCTTTTTTTTTCTTCCAGTCCCTTGCGTTTCAAACGCCCTAACGTTACATAGCCTACTACGACCATGTCTTTGACCATTCGCGCCCTCATTTT